TTTTTTTGCTTTTGCTTTCTGTTCTTTTCTCCCATCTCCTTCTTTTAATTTCTTTTTTGATTTTCTCCTTTACCCCCTTTTTTTTCCCTGCCTTCTCCTCCATCTTCCATTCCCCCTCCCCCCCTAAAAAATTTTCCTCCACGGGTTGCTGCTCTGTTTTTGCAGAGCCAGTTCCTTTTCGTTCTTCTTTTTTTAAAGTTTTAATTTGTTTCGTGTTTTAGGCCGTGAAGGCTTCGGTTTTAGGTTTTGGTGTTCTTTACAGGTTTCTGCAATGCATTTTCTCTCCTCATTGTTGGAGGCTGCGTCACATCGGTTGGTCTTAACCACTATCATCGGCTCCTTGACTCCACAGATGTTTCTTCTGTTGTCTATCCTCAGTGGAACTGTTGGAGTTTGGGATGCCTTTAAAGTGCAAATCGCACTTATTTCTTGGATTATGGTAGTGCTACTCCTACTGGGTGTAGCTTTGGTGGCTTGCCCACCACCATTTTCTGTTGGTCACTGGTTTCTCCTTGGTGGTTGTCGGCTTGCTATGGTGGCGCGGCTTGTGAGTGTAGGATTGTGCGGCAGATGTCTGTTAATGGTGTTAGGGTTTCCTCATGTTGTGTTGAGCTTTGTGGGCTTTTGCATTTTGTGGGTTTTCTGCCTTGATGTGGGCCCTTCGCCTCTATGTGGGCTTTATGCCTTTATGTATGCTTTATGCATTTTGTCAGTTTTATTTGTAGTGGGCTATGTCTGTATGCATTGCATTTTGTATGAACTCAATTCTTTGAGTTCATTTTGATGTAATATGGCGTTTGACCTTCTATTTAATGAAACAAGATTTCGTCCAAAAAAAAGAATAGAATGATCATGCCCATTCTTTTTTTTTTTTTTAGAAACAGATCATAACATTTCATTAAGGAATAAGCATCATTAGTGAGAATGGGAGACAACCATTCAGGTCCATCTTCCATCCAAACTATAAGATCCGAAATAGAAAGAGCAAACCGTGCAAGGCTATGAGAGGCGCGATTACAAGTACGAGGTCGAAACTGACCGAAACAACTATGAAAAGAATTAGCTAAAACCTGAATTTCATAGTGTTAATTAAATACAATTATGAACCAAATGATAACTTTTGGGAAAACATGAACGTATATATGCACCTCCAACTAAGCCATACCTAAGTTTTCCAACTCGCGAGCAATGACCATGATATATATATATATATATATATATATATGCAAATTCAAGATAAAAGAATTCTTAGAAACTATAAAAAGTGAAAATGCGGGAATGAGGCTATTGGACGGTATGCACATGTTGAATGTATTTTTGTATGGTTAAATTAACATAAAGGACGACGGAAAAAGGAATTGTCTTGAATATACTTTTTCATGTATAGTCAGCAAATTGTCTTGTTTGGAATAGTGCGGCGAAAGGGATTGAACTCGAATAGAGAAAGACAGTACACTACAATAATTACATAGTTCTTGAGGAAATTGTTCTTCATGACCGATTTGTATGATAATGATAATCCAAGGACTAAGGTGATGAGCGCGTAAAAGGATTGTGATTTTCACACTTCCATTTTTGTTTTTCTTTCTACACTCCTCCCCTTGTTTCTTTCCCTTGATCCTCCATAGATTTATTCAATCCTAAGGCTAAAAAAGAAAAGGGAGGAGAGCATGAGAAGAGAGTAGGAGTGATAAACTATGATTGTTCACAATTAAAACTCTTAACTTAATTTCGTTTAGAATGAATTAAACACTAAAGTCTGGTCTAAGACAATGTCTGTGACGACATGTGAATTGCAGTAATGCGAAATTATATTCTCCCGTGCAAAAATGGATCCGAGTTCTTCACAAAGGTTGTTCCTACATATGTGTAGAAGAACATATTAAAATTTAATAGCATTTGGATAAATATAGCTCGCTCAAGTCATCACACATCAAAATAGGTTTGGAGAAGAAGCTAAATGGTATGCTGGCCACTTTTGTTAAGTCAATGGAGGTGAATGAGTCAACATGTGAAGGCCTGAGCACTCTCAAAAAATAAATATTAAAGTATGCTTGCCGAAGGAGGAAAACAAGTTTGACTTGGAAGATATTTTGAATTACCTAGGGAGCTTCACCTAGGGAACAACACCAAAGCAACTTTTTTGGTTTTGCTTGCATTTTCAGCAACCCACTCACCAAAATCAATGGCAAGTGGGTACTTCTCATTGGCTGTTGGTCCCAACACTTAACCCACCTCAGTTTCTCTATAAATAGAAGGAGAAGTCATCAATCAAACACACAGTTCTCT